TTCATAAGTGTGCTCCTACTGTCAAATGTGTGCTCCTTTACCTAAATGACACAGACATCCTAAACCAGCTCTGCTTACTTAAGTGGTAAAGGAAGAGTGTTTTGCCATATCAGTTCTTACTGCATGTATGTCTTTTCCTGTTAAAGCACTCCTATTCCTAAAACATTTCCCATTATCTCTGGTGTCCTGACAGCAGTAATCTCTCAGGAGGTCTAATCTGAGACCAGATTTAAAAAAAATTAAAAATCCTAAAATCCTGTGAGTTCAATCTAGCCTTTGTCCTATGGTGACCAAAGGGTAAAAGAAACCCTTTTAAATAAATTTGTTCACTTTCTAAATAGATAACTAGCCAAATGCATTTCAAGTATTTGTTCAACTGATCAAATATTGCTTTAGGTTTAGAAAACAAATTAACCAAATGTTTGAAGAATTAGACATTTTGTACCTGAACAATTCTCTGTGTCATTACTTCTGCACAAATGACCCCAAGTACTGTGGTCAAAATAAAAGACCTTTTCCATGAAAATAAGTCAGACAAATGTTGGAATTTTTTTTTTCTTTTAGTTCTTCATGAAACAACTAAATTGTGGAAGTTCAGACTCTTTTCATTTTATCCTCTTACTTGAGAGAAAGTCACACCAGTGTGTCAAATTTAAGTCCTTACTTCTTCTGTGGATACACTGATTGGCTGAGGTACATACATATATATATATATATATATACACACATATATATATATGTATGTATGTACACATATATTTGGCAGAAACATAACTTGATAGTTGAACATTAGGTTGAATTAGTTTGAATTTGGGATAAACATTAGTTTGAATTTGAGATAAACACATTTCTATGTGTGTGGGTTCAGAAATCAGAACAGTCTGTCCTGACACTAAATAAACACAGTTCCCAGGTGGAAATTCTCAATTATTAAGATGTCTGATTAACTTCTAACTCAATGGCTGTGCTTTAAGATGCTGCTTTAAGCAATGTTTGAATCACTATTAGATACCATTATTCTTTCTGCTCTGCAAGTAGAAGCTGTGAACTCCTTTTTCACATTGTTAGGGTAAGATTTTCTACCAATTAGCTAATAACAGGAGTGGAGTCAGAGACACATAGGCATGTCAAATACATTTTTATATGCTGCCTATGATGAAGAGTTTTAAATAGACCAAATTACAGTTTTGGCAGTACGATTTTAAAATCTCTGTTGATTCTTACAACTGCTCTGCTCTGTTCTGCTGGTAGTGTCTCCTATCACAGAGTGTGCCTGCTGTGAGCTTACAGACTTGGGTGATTATTGGATGTTCTGCATACAGAATTGTGAGGCTTTTTTAAAGGTTGCTAGAGCTTAATTCCTAACAGCCACTTGCTTTGAGCCATTGCTGAACTGAATGTTGTGATGCTTGTCCAAAAGGAAAAGCAAAGAGAAGGACAGAGGATGACAACACTTGCTGTTCTTGAACTGCCTTGACCACATCTTGCAATATGTTTTTATTGGTACAGTATATGAAGATAACCTGTTTTCTTTATTACATTAGGTATCTTAATGAAGTTCTGGGTATGAGTTATTATTCGATGGCAGCATTTATTTGTTTAATTAGCTAAATGATACAAGTGAAATTTCATTTTGAACTCAGTCATCATCTGTTAAACTGCTGGAGCAGTTCAATAATTGACTGCTACCATTACCCACTCCAAAATGAGCAAGGAAATCCATGGATTTTTGCCACGTAAGACTTGTTTCTGATATGTTTACTGAGCACTGGTGTGTGGGCAGTGAGTGAAGGGGATTTTCCTGCTCATTTGACCACTGCAGGAAGCAAACCAGCATCCTCTCACTGGAGCTGTACCTTGAAATGGCTGCAGAACCTTGACAGCTCCAGTGGGAGCTGCCTGCTTGTTCCCTGGCTGTGCCTCAGAGTTTCTGATGGGCAGGTAAACAGCATCTGTGCTGGACACTGAAACACTGCAGGGCAGGGAGGCACAGCTCCAGCAGCCAGAGGAGAAACCAAGTGAACCAGCAGCTCCCCTGAGAGGATGGAGAACATAGGGGAACTTCCCTTTTATACAAATACTCTCAGCATTGTGGAAATGTGAGTCCTGTACACTGTAAGACCTTTATTAATTGCTATACTGGTTGTCTGTTGCCATTTTAAAAATTTACTTGCATCTCAATAAATCAAAACTATATTTTTTTTAATAATATGAAACACTGGATTTCAGGCCATTGGAAGCAAAAATTACTCCTTCTGCCTTTACTAGACCTCTACTGTCATTTTAAAATTAGAAGGAAATAATTGAAAGTCCAAAACAGCAAGGCATGATGCTACTGAAGAGCAACAAATACCAAATGATCTGTGGTAATTTGAGAGTTGACAAGCTGCAGTTCATCACCCCAGTATGTAAAAGGTAGGATACACATAGCAACATTACGTATTTTACACTTTTATGTTTATTTTAAGGAATGGTGCCTTCAGCCAGAAGGTGCAAAAAATGGGATCCCACAAGTTGCACCTCCACTTGCTTCCACCTTTCTATCACCTCCCCCTTTTGCTGGCAGAAATGTTCGCAGTGAATCAAATTAACAAAGTGATTTGGTATTAAAGTAGCCTTTGTGAGGGGACAGAGAGGTAATTTTCACCCAACTGGGTGTACAGAACTGTGCAAACACTTGTGCCAAGGAAGAGGTGGAAGATGGAGAGTGTATCTTTTGGCAGCAGTACTGACTTATGTAGGTTTAAATTGGTGCTAAAACTATTACCTGAGATTTTTATTCATAAGTGTAAAGCTTTCTTTAGAGCCTAAAGAGCAGCATTTGGTTGTGTAATCTTTCACTGTAAGCAGAATATGCTCCATCTAATTTAGAAGCACATTGTTTGTTCCACTGCAGTACTATGTGGCTGCATTTCTTCCATTAAGTTAATAATCTCTATTCCATATAATGTGAGTATTCTAGTGTAAGGCAGGCAAGGAAGAAATCAGAGCTCTGTGTAATGACATTAAGCTTTTAGGTTACAGACAGAGTAAAGGACTCACAGCTGCTTAACATATGCCCTCTGCCTGAACTCGCTTTATCACTTGGTATCTGACTGCTCTCAACATATAAAAAGTTGCCGTGATTGATAGTTGGTTATACAGTATTTGTCAGGGTGAACTGAATCATTATGTGTACAGATTCAGGAATATAAAAAATAAAGCTGAAAGAAGAACAACAAAAACTCTGACATCTTCCCCATTCATTAAGCTTTCCTAAGGCAACTGTTTTTGTTTGCAGGAGTTAGTGGTTGCTGGTTTTTCTAACTAGCAATTGCTGAGTGATTTAGAGTACATCTCTGCTCTTTTGTTTGGATTTCATTTGCAAAACCATTTAGAGTTATAAAACTGTCAACTTAAGAACATTCTATATATTTTGCCAGTGAGGGCCTCCTGTATGCAGAGTTTATGCATTTCTCTCCATTTTGTGTGCTGTTTGAATTCTCAGTATGTATCACTGTTGTTCTTTTTTTGGTTGTTCGAATAATTCCCACTGCCTTTTATGAGCAGCAGAAATCCTTGAAGTAATTATGAAATTGCATCTCAGATCAGTCATCAGATATTGCTAACCACAACATCTCACCCTTGGCCAAACCTAGCCCAGCAATGCAGTAATAGAATGTTCTGCTGATGCTTAGAACACTTGAAATTTAGAAACCCTGACTGCAACTAGAATTGAATCATGCACCTAAACATTAGAAAGCATAAACCAGATCTGTTAATTATGTTAATTGCATAGGATGGTAGCTTTCTAAACTCTCAGATGCCCTAAAATAACTACAAGCTAGGATTTAAAAAGTGTTATGCAAACTTTTATTGCCTACTACTCGGAGCTTTGCTTACTGTTTGTCTCCTGCAGAATTCCTTTGGTGGCTAAGCTCAGCTTTACATTGTATGGAAGCTGTGGGGCCCAGGTCTGTGATCATTCTGCACAACCTCAATCTCTCCTGGCCTTGCTGCTGGCTCTGTTTCATGCATTTCATGTATTTATTTCAGATTTTCTATTCCTATTGTTCATAAGGTACTGCAGACTTAAGTCATCAAGTACTGAAATTATATAAAGGTGGCTGTGACAACTTTCTGTAACTTGAAAGTTGGAATCTGACATGAATTTGCACCAACTGATTGTTCCTGGATGCTTGGTTGGTCAGGTACAGAGGGAGATAAGCCAGTACTTCAAACCTGCTTTGGAACTTTTGGAGTCAAAAGTTTTTAATTCAATGACAGATTTTAGGAAAGCCTTAAATAACTGACGAGTTCACTCAGTGAATCTGGAAGAATCTGTGCAGGAAGTACAATGTTTTGTCTTTGCTATCTTAATAGAAAAACAGGTTCTGATTTTCCTGGCTTCCCTAACTTTTCCAGAGTTCCCTGTTGTCCTTGACTTCACATTTCAGTAACCATGCTTCCTGCATCCCTGGCAGGAGATCTTATCTCCATTTTCCACCTTATGACCTTCCAGTACAATTTTAGCTCTCAGTATTGCAAGGGAAAGTATTATTTTTTAAAGAAGATTTTTTAAAAGAAAAGAAAATATGAGGAAATTTCGTTGTGAAACTTGTTCACAAAGAGACTGCAATTTTACTTAACATGTTTTAGGAAACATATTGACTTTTACTTCAGTCTGCAACAGAAAAGTATCATATCTGCTTGCTCATTTCACATTCACCATAATGGAATGTTTCTCATTAAGAGAATCATTTTGATTGTAGTTCAATTTTTCTGCTTCAAAGTATATTTTATTGTTTGCAATTACAAAAAGAAATACAAAGCTTTTCTCTTGCCTTTCAACAATGAATTCTGACATCTTGGCTTTTTTCCAGACTATTTATTTTTTTTTTATTTTGTTTTGAAGATCAGGATTTCCCTTGAGATGGACCTTCCATTTGCTGTTACTCTCTCTCTTCCTTTGCTCTCCTTTTTTTCTGCCAGGCATTAACTACTTCACTTTCAAAGCTCTGCAGTCTAATCCCACTGTAGCCATTATCCCTATGCACTGTGGAAATGTTGACTCTTGGTTCAGTAACAACTCAAACATTTACCTTTGACCATCTGTACTCTCTAATGTCCATCTCCAGTCCTGTGCTGCCATGTGTGCCATGAAGAAGTTCCTTGTTGTTCCTATCTTAAAACTTTCTTTTGATCCCTGCAGAATTACGTGATAACAGAACAGGTATGTGATAAACTTAATCCTCCCGTTGCTGAGTCCAGGCTTTCTTGTATTTCACATATTGTTCCATCTGTAGTTTTCCACTCTGTTTTATACTTTAAAATTACGTGGGCAGCTGTTGTTTCCTGTTGTATTTATACTTGGTTTATCAAAGATTTAAAAACTAAGTTCAGCAGGTAAAGCCTGGCTTTAAAACTATCATGAGCTGTAAATTCTGTCCATGTAAATTCTAGTATTTATTTTATAAATATGCTTGAGCTACTTATTGTTGAAATGCAAATTAATATAATTTTATTCTAGGATAATTTTCTAGATGCCTTAATTCCAAAATAAGCAAAGACTACCAACACCTTGTTTTGTGCTGCTTTTACAATGATACTTTTCAGTGTGGTCTGCTGGAATACAAACAGGTTTTATGGAGCATTTTTACTAAACAGTCAACAGGTTTTAATTTAGCTTCTTAAATCATAATTGTTTTTCAATTTTCTGCCCTGCTTCACAAACGCATAATGAAGGCACACCTGATGCTATAAAAACCAGATGTCATTTCAGTATTTTCAGCTGTGTGATAAATTTGGACAGCTTAGAAGTTGTTATCATAGATGTATAGTTACCAGAGAGCTCACAAGAACAGAAAGCACATAAAGCATTGCTAAATAAATAGGATTTTGGAATGGGCTGCACTTTATTTTCAAAGACTTTGAAAATTATGGATGGAATTTCCTTAAGGAACTTTCAGGAGACCATTTTAAACTTACAAACAAATTCAAATTCTTTCTCCCTACCAGTCATGTTAAGTACCACTTGCATTTGCTCATGGGGATTTGAAGAGCAGCACGCAAACCTGAAGGAAAATTAGATTGTGTAATCCATGCCAGCTCTTAAAAACATTCCTCCTTTACCATTCTCCTTGAGGAAGAACTTCTTAAAACAGAATGTTCTGTGGCAACTGAACTGTACCTGAAATACAGTTTTATAGTACAGCTTTACAGTACTTGTTTCTTTAAACATTTTCAAATTCTGCATACAGGTGTTCAGAGGTCTCTTAGTGGAAATGATATATATTTAGAAAAAGGATAATTTAACATAAATTAATTGCCACAATCTCAATCACCCGCCTCTGGTTATCACCAAGCAGGAAGTCAAATGCAAAAAGCAGCAATGCCCATCACATTTCTTCCTTTTTTTGTTTAAAGGTGCCTCTTTTTTCACAGCCAAACTGAGGGTCCAGTTCTCTGTCTCCCAAAACATTGATCTGATTTTAGAGCAAACCAAGAGGCAAGAGATAAGCTGAGGTTGTTGATAGCCTTATGCTCAGGATGAAGGTGCAGAACAGTTGAGAGGCTGCTCGTGTTCCAAGTGCTGCTGTGGGTGTCTATTTTAGGGTGACTGAATCATGAAATGATCACATTCTGCTAAAGAAATGAATCCTGCCCACTCCATTTTCTTCAGTGTCTTCTCTTGGGTCTTGTTCATCACCAATTGAAAGTTGCGTGTTCTTGCCTCTGTGTGTGTGTGCAGCTGAATGTGTATAAATGTAGGTATGGATGAAACCCATTCTGGAATATTTAGTTAGGTTTTGAAGAAGATATTGGTATAACTGACTAAAAATGGCGCTGGTTTTTAGTAAGAAATTCAGGGAAAAAAGTTCTGTTAGATCTCGGAGAATATGGAGGGTTTGAGATTAGTGTATATGTCCCAGGACATTTCAATCCTTGTGGCTATACATCCTCTTAACTCTGCAGCTGAAGACAGTGACAACTTGTTGGTAAGGAGGTATGAAGTTTTTTTATGGGTTTTGCTGACCTTGTTTTTAACAAAAATGTCTTCCTAAGTCAAATACCAGGATTCCTGTTCGAATTGTAGGGAAAACCACCTTTCCTGTGGATAATAGCCATTTATTTTCTACTTAATATTTAATCTTCAGCTTCACTACTCTTTCCCATAAATGGCAAAAATGTACCTTCTCCAGCTGTATGTTAATTATGTTCCATTTTTAAGTCAGAATGGGTACATTACAGAGAAGCTGTCAATTTGACACTGAGCAAACTAAATATACTCAGCTGAGTGAATCCAGCACTGTGAACATGAACCACTGGTATAAATAGGAAAGGAGACACCTTGAAGCTTTACCATATTCAAGAAGTGTCAGATCATGTTCATTTGCAAGGGATGGCAATGCTCTTTTTCCTCCAGTGCAGGCACAAATATTGTTTGACTGAACACAGGCTATCCAGGTGTTCAACAGACTCTCATGTTTGTACCTTTAATGCTGAATTTCAGCATTTTTTGAATGGTCATCCAACTTTTTTTTTATAATCCCAGATCTTTTCCTTCATAAAGACTTAAATGGGAGATATTAAAACAGAGTGTTTGTCCTTCCATCTTTAAAATTATTCCATCTACTTTTCTGACTGTTTCTAAACCCTGTGGACTGTTCTCAAACAGCTTTTACCAACAAGCATTGCTGTAAGGACAACTGGCATGAACTATTAGGAACTCTTGATTATGATGAAGATGTGTTTCATTGTTGAGGACAAAGTACTCCCGATGATATGGGAGCTCCAAGACTGCTAGAAACATGAGAAATTGGTTCCTAATAGTTCTTTTCTTTTGTACCCAGCTCAGCAAACAACATGGGGTTCTCCAGATCTTCCAGAGGAAGTCTGAATGATAGGTCACTGTGCACAGAATCAGCTTTAGGAATTTTTCTTTCTATGTTTTGTGCTTAAAAAGAATATATTCCATTAACAGTGGTCACCTGTGCCACTTGGCTTCTGAAAAATGCATCACTATGAACAAAAATATCCCACACTTTAAAGGTAATATTTCTATTTTTGCTGAGGGAGTAATGGGGAGGAATATCACTTGAGCTTGAGAATGTCAGTACAAGCAGTATGTCTTGTGTAAGTCCCACCTAAGCTTTCCTTGTCTGAAATGTTAAATAAAGACTTTAATGAGTTCCTCTGCATAAAGATAAATTTAGCTCCAAGAGCAGTGCAAAGCAGACTTGTTGATTGGTGGTGGGAATGATTGCTGTGATTCCTGAGCTATGAAGGTGCTATCATTTCTGCAAAGGATCTTTGCAGGGGAGGCAAAACAGAGACCTGACTCTGCAAAATGAATTGTGGGTCTGTGGGTATGCCCAGAACTTCATGTAGGATCCTATTCTATTATGAATCATAACTTTGCCTTTTGTTGTAAATGATTGTTCTTTAATTACACCTTCAGCTATAATTTTGTGATCCTTTTGTGTGAAAAGTTCAAAACTGGATTAATAAATTAGTCTAGAAACTTCTTACTATTTAAATACTGCCTCAGCTATTTTCGTAGCTTTATTAGAACAGTTCATGCTTCAACTTATGGCGTTTACTTTTGGTCATGGGGGTGTTCTCCAGGTCATTCTTTAAGTGGGTGAGTCATCCATTTCTGTGTGACATGCAAACAACAAAATGACCCTTTAAAAGTGTGTGTTTTCCAAGGAAACTGCACCTGCAGATGCACATCTGCACTTGCTGTGCTAAATTCCTGCTTTCTGACTGCTGGTGCTGAGCTGGAGATGCTGGGAAGTCTCTTCTCTCTGCCTTCAGACTTTGTACCTTACAGGCTGGGGATAAAGAGGTTCTGAAACATTTAAGTGGAGGGGGAGGCATCAGTCCCCCTCCAGCAGTGAGCATGTGTGTTGCTGTCAACATCTCAGGATGACCAGCGTGAGGGGGACAAGCATTGTTATTCTTGCTCCACAGGCACCTATTTATTATCTGTCCCAGTGAATTCCTGCCTCTGCTGGAGAAGAGATAGAGCTATCATTATTTTTGCTTGCCTTGCAGAAGGCAGGCTTTGATGTCACTCTCTGCATCTCACTGAGGTCTACGTAAATCATCTGAAGTTGGCCAAAAACTTGAGAAGACTGCTGTAATCTACAGCTGTTATCAGTGCCTTCCCCATTTTTATTGGGAATAAAGCCTGTTTGCATTAGGGTAGCGGCAAATACCTGTGTTGGTCGTTCCTAAACAACGTGCCAGAAATCCCCCTTGGCTGTGCTAACAACTAATTGCCAAGTTCTTTTTGACCAAACCATCAGCCGAGCCCCAGTGCATGCACGCTGCAGTGAGTCGTGGTACAGAGCAGCACATGGAACTCGGAGCAAGTATGTTCTGTATGTGGCTGCTATGGTGATTAAAATACATAAATAAAATAGATAAATATGGACCATATTAGAAATCCATTACTGGCGCTCTCTCAGATCGCAGGCAGCTCCAGCGTGCGGTGTCAGCTCCGAGCGGCAGCTCCTGGGGGGGCTGCACTTACGCAATGGCCCTGTCCTACCTTGTCAGCTCGCAAATTCGACACAAAACGGGTAAACAAAGGGCTTTTGTGCAGGGTTTATAGTTCAGTGGGGATTAGTGGCCTGACACGGTTCTCAGACGGGGCCAGCTCAGCGTTAAGTCGCCCGAGGTTAACGAGGGCGGGCTGCAGCACCGGGGGCTCCTCTCGGACGTGGGCAGGATTGCCAAAAGCGGGTTCTGCTTACCTGGGCTGGCGTGTCCCTCACGTGTTCCCGGTGCCTCAGGATGTGGCTGGTCTCGGGCACTTGCTCGCAGTCCTTCCCGCAGCTCCAGGGGTGCCCTCCGCCGGCTCGGGCATCCTACCGCGCTCCTGCGCTCCGGCTGGATCCGATTCCTGCTTTGCTTCCCCCTCTCTCACCTTTCAGCGTTCTCTGACCGTAAAATCCATCTCTTTCCTGAAATGCAGAACGATGCACTTGTCCAATGAAGTTTTTTCCAGGCGAGATTCAAATTCCAAACAAGCCTCTCATTTCCTTCGCGCTGGGGGCAGAGCGAAGGCAGGGAGGCGAAGGGAAGCGCTCGCTTCCTTTAAATCCCCACCAGCGTCTTCGCAGCGCTGGAAGAGAAGCAGCTTGTCATGGTGATCTTCGGAGTTTAACTTCAGAGGGGGAGGGAGAAAGTGGAAAGCAAACTGAATGCTGTAGTGGAGATTTC